GAGTGACGTGTGTTTGTGTCTGTAGGGTCCGGAACAGAGTCTGACAGCGATGAATCTGTACCAGAGCTCGAAGAGCAAGACTCTACACAGGCCACAACGCAGCAGGCACAGGTAGGGCAGGCGGCACGGGCCAGCCATGTCCCGGCACCCAGCAGCAATGGAGCAGGATCCCTGCTGATGCTGTCCACTGCAGCTTTGGGGTTGTCATGGGTCCCTCTTGTTTTCTCTCCTTGCAGCTTGCAGCAGCAGCTGAAATAGATGAAGAACCCGTTAGCAAAGCAAAACAGAGCCGGAGCGAAAAGAAAGCACGGAAGGTGAGGTGGGGTGGTGGATGGACCAAACCCGTATGCAGCAAACAGCCTGCCTATGGACATCTGAGCTTTGCCTCAGGTTCTGGCACAGTATCCCGGAGTGCTTAGGTCTGTGCCCCGTGAGCTCTGTTCAAGGCTGCAGCTCCTTACCTCCCACCCCTGTACGGTAGCATCCGGGCGTTCGAGAGCTGAGAGGTTTGTGTGACTTTCTGCCCTTGTCAGGCCCCCAGGCAGAGGGATGCCCTGTTCACAGGCAAAATCCTGTATCTAGAGGGGGGCTCAAGGTCATGCTGTGGATCTTGCCGATCCTGGGACTGGAGAGTTCCCTCCCAGGCTCCCAGCGCACCGTCAGGCTAAAAGCCTAGGAATGCTTCTCTGCAGCAGTAAAATGCCCATTTTAATTTGCACAAACGCACCGATCGTTGGACCTGGGTCTCTGGAGAGCAAATGAGTGGATGCATCTTTTCACAGGCTGGGCTGTCTCAGTAAGTCGTCTTTCTCTCGCTTACCTTTCTCTTGTTTTTTTCAGGCAATGTCTAAACTGGGCCTTCGCCAGGTGACAGGAGTAACCAGAGTCACCATCCGGAAATCTAAGAACATCCTCTTCGTCATCACAAAGCCAGACGTGTATAAGAGCCCAGCGTCAGACACCTACATAGTCTTTGGCGAAGCAAAGGTGAGCTGACTCTGCGTAGTGTCTGGCAGCACGTTAATCCGCACACACAGTGGGCCACTTAGCTGGGGTTCCTGCTTGCCACCTGTGTGCTGTAGCTGCCGCCAGCAGGTCCCAGCTGCTGTCTGTCCCCCCCGAGGGATGTGGGCAGGCCCAGGGGCTGCGCCAAGGGCCAGCTTCCCAGCTGGGTTCTGCAGCAGAGCCATTCAGTCTGCTGGCACTGCTGCAGCACGGGAAGCACAGCTGCGGCTCTCTGAGCCTGTGTGCTGACATCCCGCTCTGCGCAGGGCTGGCCTCACTTACGCTTCTTCCCTCCTCCAGATCGAAGACCTGTCCCAGCAGGCCCAACTGGCAGCTGCTGAAAAGTTCAAAGTGCAAGGAGAAGCTGTTTCAAACATCCAAGAAAACACACAGACCCCCACCGTGCAGGAGGAGAGCGAGGAAGAAGAGGTACGCCTTTCCCAGCCTGTCTTTGCGGGGCTGGGCGCTTCATTGCAGACCTGAGCTGGCTGCGAAGCATCCGGAGATTGTCTTAAGACCTGTGGTTTTCTTTCCTTCATCCATGTCTTCGCTGTGATGGCAAAGGGAGAGCGCAGCGTCCTTCCCTTGGAGGATCTGGTCCTGGGCACTGCCTGGGGACTGTCCCCAGGGCTGGGCAGTGCCTGGTCTTGCCTCCCAGTTTCTCTCTGTGTGGCCTGAGTGGGAGCTGCCCCGATCCAGACAATCCCATTTTCCTCTGCCAGGCACGGAGCAAACCGTGCATCGGGCTGGCGTGAATCCTGGGCTCTTTCTCCTTTAGGTTGACGAAACCGGCGTCGAAGTGAAAGACATTGAGCTGGTGATGTCCCAGGCGAACGTGTCCCGAGCAAAGGCAGTCCGTGCCCTGAAGAACAACAGTAATGATATTGTAAATGCTATAATGGTGAGTGTCTGCCTGGCCGGGCGGGCCTGGTGCCCAGCGAGGAGGGAGAGCGGTTTGCGGTGGGACCTCGCTGGGGGGAGACGTGCAGCGCGTAGTTCTCCGCTGCCACAAGTAGGGTGTGAGCTCAGGGCCGTGAGCGGAGGGACGTGCCTCCTGCCTGCCGCCGTGGTACCAGATCCCTCTGCGTGTCGGAGGCCGGGCTGTGGGGCTCCGTGCGGCTCACAGGGCTGGCTCCTAACGCACTTTTCTCTCTGCAGGAGTTGACGATGTAGCTGCCAGAGGGAGGAGCCTTTTTTGGTGTTTCAGAGAAGAGTAAAATGCAACTAAATTTAAAATTTGTACTATTTCTATCAATTAATAAAAGTTGTGGCTTATTGTTGGTGAAACACTTTCTGCTCCATGTTGGCTTTGCTGCCTTCCCCTCCGTGGTAGCAGAGGCCCCAGGGTGGAGCCTTCCTCTGGGGAAGATCTCAGCCCCGATAGCCTGTCCCATCCCACCGCAGCGGAAGACCACCTGCCCTTTTTTTTCTGTCCCCAAGGTCGGCTGGCCGCAGGCCCCAGAATCAGCACCATGCCTGGGACACTGTAGGCAGGAGGTCCCAAACAGGAGGCGAGGAGTCCACTGCAATGTGTCACCTCCTTCATCCCCCCGGGGTTCCCTTCAGTCACCAGGGCTTGTCCTCGTTTCCCTGCAGTTGTGGGACAGGGTTGGCTTTGGGCATCATGCACCTTCCAGCCTGATCCGGAGGGAGGCTGAGGCTCATCTGGGTTCGGTCCTGCCATTTCAACCTGCCTGTTTGCTGGCTGGGAGCGGCACAGCAGGGCCGAGTGGTAGAAGGGGCTGCGCTCGGTCAGGCCTGCGGGAAGCCTGTGCTTACCTGGAAAGCTGCTGTTTGCAGGCGGCCCCCCGCTCACAGGGGAGCGAGCTAACATCTACCCACCCATGGCCCCGAGTCTCACGAAATGCGGAGGCTGGAGCTGTGAAAATGGGCACTTTGCTGCCATTTAGCAGCATTTTTTCTCCTCTGCCATAAAAGCTGGGTTTTGGAACAGCTCATTAAGGCTGATGAGCGGCACGGCAGCACAGGTAGCCAGCGAGAAGCCCAAGAGGAA